ATTTGATTTTGGAATCTTCAAAACTGTCTTGTTCCTTTATTCCTAGACCAAAAAACTCATTTACACTAACTTTTCTTTAAGAATTTTTTTTTTTTTTTATCATGGGAAATATGAAAAGGTAGAATTTTTTTCAAGTGTTTGGTAAGAATCAAAATTTTAATTAATTTTATTCAAACACTAATAATTAAAAATGAATAACTAAACTCGAAAATTTAATTTAAGAAAAAGAGGTGTTTATTCGTGCAATTTAAAAAAATTAATCAAGAGAAAAATAATATTTATGTTGGTTTAATAAAATTTTATTTAAAAAAATGAACCTAATATATTTTTAAGGTAATAATCAGATCCTTGTTATGCGTTAATAAAATAATATAATTAAAATTTTTAAAAATTTAACTAATAAACTCTATTATTATATTTTAATACAATATTTTTTTATTATATAATAAACTGATTTTAAGAAAATAAAATAAAAAATTTTAAAAAAAATGAATAGTTAATTGACTAATTTTTTCCTTTCTTTTCAATGGAAATTGACCAAATTTTTCTTGAACATGGTAGTTAATTGACTAATTAGTTCTAGTAGTATTAATTTTAGTCCAAAACGAAATGGCAAAAGGTGGTAATAATTAAGGAGAGTGTGAGGACAGACCTGTCATTTCAACAGAAAGAAGAAAGAAATTAAAAAAAAAAAAAGTAAATAAAATAGAATCAGAAGCTGTTCATTTATCCTCTTGTTGTCGTCTTCGATGGCCACCAAAACCAACTCCCATTACCTCACCCACTCTTCCTCGTTAGTGCCCAATCTCAGCTGCACATCGACGAATTCACACAATCTATCTTTGGCTCAGATCACCCTCGATGAAGCGTTCTATTCCCGATTCTCCGGTCGCCGGAAGTCACTTCAGAATGAAGAAAATCAAGGAGGAAGAGGGGGACAAAGAAATTGGGTTTATGAATTTTGACGAGAATCTGCTGTACGAGGTGTTAAAGCACGTGGACGCGCGGACGCTGGCCAGGTCGGCCTGTGTCAGCAGGCTCTGGCACAAGACGGCGCAGGACGAGCGGCTATGGGAGCGGATCTGCACCAAGCACTGGGCTAATAACGGGTGCGGTAACCAGCAGCTCAGATCTGTGGTCCTGCCTCTCGGGGGCTTCCGCCGGCTGCACTCCCTCTATCTCGGGCCCCTTTCTAAGCCGCAATTGAGTTCGGCATCGTCTTCGAATTGGGGCCCTGTCTCCGAGATGATTAACTCGAGGCAGGGGGCTCGGTGGGGGAAGGACGAAATTCACCTCTGTTTGTCCCTCTTCTCGATTCAGTATTATGAGAGGATGAATTTCACTAACAGAGGTGGAAAATTATAATATGCAATGCTGCATCGTATATAAGTAACATACTGAATTGCATATGTAAGTTCCTGTATTTCTGGGTTTTCTTTATTTTTCTCGCTTCTTGTTTTGTTTCCCTAATTTGGCTTGAAAATTTCTCCCTTTTTTTTCCTCCTATTGTGCTAATTTTGTACTCGTAGATCCGTAGTTGTGTAGTACTACAATATTCAGTTATGAATCCAATTTTCTTAATGATAATGACTATGGGACTGGAAATTTTCTTTGGGTTGAGGAATTATTTTCCATGGAAACAAATGGGTTGGCATTGATTGGATGGGAGGTTAGAAGGATAAGCAAGTAAGCACAGATAGAGATGACCAAAAGAGGGTCTCCCCAGTTTGTTGTATTTAATGTGTGCAACTGTTGCTGCCCATGCTTTTGTGGCTATTCCCCATGGCCTGATTGTAAGAGACAGAGATGAATGGAGCCTCAATGCTTTTGTGTTGGATTGAGATCTGGTATTTGCATAAACCAAGGTAGTTTGTCGTATTGGTTGGTGGTCCTGTTAGGGGGATGGACATTAACCAAAGCAGGCCCTTCTTTTGACCTTTTTATTTTGTCCTGTTTCTTTTAATATTGTTTCCCAATTTCTCTGATGTTATGTGAATTGGTTTCTGCTAGGTTTTTCTTGTTTTTTTCTAATTCCTAGCAGATGTCGTGGCATTGTGGTTGAGGAAAATGGTCTGTTTTGTGATTGGAGGTTGCGTTTGCCTATGAGGTGTTCTTGTCTTGGTTGTCAAGTTGCTTGTCTTGAAATGGAACCGTTGTTTGTTTTATGTTTTCGTCCAGTCTGAATGGAATGAATAATGTGCAAGGGGGAGTATTTGGATTTGACTTTTAACTCACTAAATTGTTGTGCTACGAAGAGAAGATGAAATTATGCCAATAATATGATGGCATCTCTTGTCTCGGATATTAAAATCCCTCTTGGGGAGACTTTGCAACGTGTACTCTATCCCACGCACAGCAAGAACGGAATACGGCTGCTGACTTTATTGTATCAAATTGTTAATGATCTTTCTTGTGTTGTATAATATTTTTTTTTTTTTGTTTTTCTAATAGTGGCTTGAAATTTTGAATTCTCTAAATATTCATAATTTAATAGGTAATTTTAAAAGTTGATAAATTCCATTTAGGTTTAAGGGTACGTGTGATTTTTTGAGGGAAATAGAGAGAGCATGCTTCTATTTGGATAAGTTTATAAAAATAAAAATAAAAATAAAAATAAAAGACTTTCCTCTTCCCTCCTTTTTGATTATTTTTGTTAACTAAATAAAATAACTATTCGCCCCTTCCTTAAACCATACAAACCCTAGCGATTTAATCGCAAAACTTTATAGGAGAATTTCTAAAATTCCGACTTGAGTTTTTAAAAGAACCATAATTATTATTGGGAAAGAAAGCCTATGAGGTCTGATCCCCTCATTTAGCCAGTGAAACAGGGAAAGGGGAAGTCCTCTTGTTCTGCAAAGCGCTAACAGGGAAAGTTGTATCAACTTTTACACATTCATTGTATTAACCAAAATACAAAAAAAAAAAAAAAAACATCATTCATTGTACTAATCACAAACCTAATATTCAAACTGGAAAATTGCATTCTACAAATGAGTCAATGGAGTTTAGGCACATGCTTTTGTGTCCTAATGTTAAATTAAATCCTACTTAACCACCAGATGCAGACATGCAGTCATAATATGACTTAGGAAGAACATTCTTGGACTGCTCCTGTAAGTTTGACCCAGCTCTAACCTAATTCCATATCTAAGTTGAAACCATGTTTTCCATACTGGAAAAACGTTAACACGAGCTTTGAAACCATTTTTTTATCAGCAGACACCCTGAGCAAAAGTGAAAATACCTAACCTTTTGAAATGTAAATTGTTTTGCATTATTTTGATAAACTGGAAAACTTCTTTTCCTGTTAAGTGATGAAAGGAAATATACAACAATATGGTTCAAATTGCAATCAGATTTTCAGTGAATTTCCATCAATTTCGTCTTTGATGTTGTCAAGAAGCACCGCCTGAATAAGTAATTTGGTAGAAACCCCCGTTGCTAAGGCATGCAGGGGCCACCATTGTCACCTGAATATCATATTAAATTCAAAGTGTATGTCTTCACCAGAGCTTATGCAAGCAACAGTAGTAGATAAATAAAATAGAGACCACGTCAAAAGCCACGAAGGAACCTTTCAACTTTCGTGATGTCTCTCTATACACACAGTAGTGTCTGGTGATGCCTAAATCCAAGCAGGTTCCGCCTTTTCCACATAGGTTACGCAGGCAATTACGCAGGCCAAAGGCGGCGCTAGAATTTCCAACAGGCTTCGTCTTATTTCTCAAAACTTGCTACATTTTTAATTCTGAAGCATGACACTTATGATCTTGTCCCTTCCTTACAGAATTAAGAAACGAAAATCGCAGCACCCTCACATGTTTGAATGCAGACACTTTTCCTCCTTTTTCCAGTCAAATTAGGTTCACATTTCTAGTTCAACAGTTTCCACCATCTTTCCTATTATGTCACATGCAAACCATAAATAAAGGGCATCATCCCACCATATTCTATCAAGCAAAAACAACAAATTCCCCATATAAGCTACTTGAACCAAAGCATTGATCATATGGCGCCAAGTTTAAAATCTATGTGTTTGATTCTTGTTCTTCTTGTGTCTTCTTCCCTTTTCGAGGCACGTCCTCTCCATGATGCTGATCAGTCTATAAGCAAAGGGTTAGACATGTTCTTTGATGGGCTGTATATTGAAGGGATCAAAACAGGAGGTCCAAGCAATGGAGGAAAGGGTCACGCCTTCACCAATACTGATACCCTTGGCACTAACTCAGGTCCAAGCGGCCCTGGTGAGGGACACTAATTAATCTGCTGCTTCCTGTCCTGTTCCTATGTTTCTGTGTGTGTGTTGAAACAAATTCATTCATTGTTTTTATTTTAGTCTGTTCAATTACCTGTTGTTTAAGGTAATTAGTGTTTTGTAGTAATTCTTTTTTGTATGATCACTGCACAGCATAGTGTAACAATAAGGATTCTGTAGTATGACCTGAAATTTTTTGTTTTGAGGCATTATTGAATTTTTTTGATCGATTGACCCTTATCATTTTCTTATTGATTGTAATTTGAACAATTATACTCCCAACTCCTTCAATTTGATGCAAATATATGTAGCAAAAACACAATATTCTGCTGGAAAAAAGATTTATCATGTCAAGAGAAAAAATACATTCTGATGAGCCAACTAGGGAGAGAATCCAAATTGGAGATGGTAGACTAGGAGTCTAGGACCATGTCGTATTTGACAATCAAAATGCATTACTGAAGAAGAATTCATTTCGAAACAAACAACTACTAAAGCATTTTTTCCGTTGTAGTTTAGCTGTTTAGCTCTTTTTGTTCTGTGGTTTGTCTCTTTTTAGTATATTAAATAATCATAAACACGTTTTTTTATCAGCAGAATTAAATTAGTGTTTGGATAATAAGCACTACTCCAACACTTAACTTCAAAAATTGAATTTATTGGCAGCAAATTTTATAGGATGTGTTGGGATTTAAATTTTGGAATCAATACTTAAAAATATTAATTTTTTACATGAGTGTACTTTTAAAATCATTTAGTAAAAAATTAATATAAAATTAAATACATAAAGATTGAACTGAGGTATCTTACTATAAATACCAGAGAAAAGAAAGAAGAGTTTCAAACTTAAGATAGCGATTTACAGTTTGTCAGCAAGACATATACAAAATCAACTATCAACATGGAATACCAGAAAACTACACAACACAGCTTGAAAATCAAGAGCATGGTTTAATCCTTTAAG